TAAACTAACGTTTCCAGCTGTTTTTTGGTGAATAACTCCAAAAGTGACATATTTTATCGAAAAAACCATATATTTAAATTTACCATATCATAAATAGCTTGTTGATGATTGGTTCTTATTCGTCAAACCACAAAATTGTAAGTTTCAACGCCAACGTAACCAAAAAGCGATGTATTTTTCTGGAAAAACCCATAGAACCTGCATTTTGCGGGCTAAACTCCTGAAACCTTTTTAGAAATTCCTAGCATCAAAACTGAGTGAGTTATGACAAAAATATTATATGTTATTGAATCGGTCGATACCTTTGAGAGAAATCCATAATGTAGTCAAGAAACACTTTATTGTGAGATTTTCACTAAACTATACTGTATAGATACTCCTGAAGAAGCTATTGTATAACGAAACATGTGTTGCGTTTTTATAAAACTGTTTAGTGAGAACTCACAATGAAATGTTCTTTGGAGACGAAAATATTGTTGGTCCCTATATTTTTTCCGCGACAAAAAAATATGAGAATCATTCCAATTGAAAATAATCGTTACCAACCTATAGTTCACTTTCTTCATGTACCTGTAATATGATCTAGAATTTACCGACTAGAAATGTTCAGTTTGAAAAAAATGAGTTTGAAGCGAAAAAGTATTTTTGTAATTTGTCAAAAAAAATGCCTTTTCACTCAACTCAAAAACGATTAATATGATATGTAGTCATCAATGCTCCAATCGATAGTTTCTGCGTTTTTCTAAGGAAAAAATAACAAAAATACTCTTTCAAATTGAAGCTCATTTTTTTCAAATCGTAATCCCGGGGCAATTTAATAAAATCATGCGCTATAATATGTTAAAATTTACTAACATCTAACTATTAAGTAGTAGAACCTAAATATTCGCTGGCTACAGAGCTGATGGTATCTACATGCACGTTGGTTACCAGCATAAGTTGGTGGATAGCTAGTTTGGGTGAAACAAACTTATTGAATTACGTAAAAAAATCGTGTTTTTTGTAGTGTGAATATTATTTAATGTATAAATAAGGTTCTGGGAGCGAAAAAATTTAATTTTTTTGGCATGATTTATGTATTGTGATGAACTTCCTAATCTCATTCATTCGCAAACTTTTTTGGAAACGCATGAGCGTACGCGTTTATGTTTTGAGTGTTTTCAAGGGTAACTTGAAAGAATAGTTCGAACCTATGGAAGATGTATGGGAGCCCGGAATTACCGGAATTATGACCAGGATTCTGTTCGGGAGGCTTAATAATTGTATAAGGAGGATTGACAGATTACTCTTGTTGCACTTTCAGAAATATTTAATATTCCTAGACACTCTGAGCAGAAAAGTGAAGAGACGCCACTTGAAAAGTCTAGGCTGTCCAACAATTTCATCAGAACAAGAAGAACGGATTATCTGTAATGGTCGTAGTGCAGCACAAAAGAAACATGATTTGGCTGAACTTGTCAAGTCATTTATACATATCTGGAACCACGATTCCCAAATTCAAAGATAATATGCCTGGAGAGAGCTGGTTGCCTAATTCCCTTCGGAGACATACTGAACTTTCAAAAAGATTTCCTCAGTCCATTAAAGAGAGCATAGCCGCAGTTAATTATGAGGTCATGAACAAATCATCAAGAAATCATAAACTATGATTGGACTAATTTCATCGATGACCCTGGAAGGGTGAAATTTATTGTCCGAAGAAAAAGCAAGAGAGCAGGGAAAATCATGGATTCATCCAAGACTGAGACATCCGTTTGCAAGTACGGCGTCAGGAAAGTTTCTGCCACCATATATTGTATATGAGGGGGACAATTTATGATCTACCTGGACTGAATGTGGTCCAGAGGGATCCAGATATAACCGTACCAAATCAAGTTGGTTCGATGCAACGATTGGTTCCGCACTATACTTCTATCCTACTGTTAGTCACTCCCACCGGGACAAAAAGTGACAATTGGGGACAATTTAACAAGCACCATATCTTTAGATGTGATGAATGAATGCCAGGAGAACCAAATATGTTTCATACTATTACCACCAAGTAGTACACATCTAATACAGTCTTTGGACGTTTCGTGTTTCCGACCTCTGAAAGGGGCTTGGCAAAAAATGTTCCGCGACTCCAAAGCACCATAAGGGAGTAATTAGGAAGGACCACTTTCCTCGTCTTCTGAAGCGAGCATTGACTGAAGTAGAATCTGATAAAGAAACTGTCATCAAATCAGGGTTCTCAGCAATAGATTTAGTCCCTTTTGATATTCAAGAAATATTCAATAGATTGCCAAAGGAAATCATGGCTGAAGACGACACTGAAGCACGAATACCCGATTCCCTTGAAGAGGTATGTGATGGAATCGACCTATACTTGATGAAAATCCATAACATATTCAATAAACACTTTATTGCTCACAAATTCGCAACACGTGCACCAATATCCAATAGCTTCAGCAAGTATGTTTAAAACCTTCTGACAAGTGTCGCGATGATATAAAGAATACATAGGAAATCTCACGATGAAGTCTTCACGACCGTATTGAAATACTGACCTACCTCAGCATTAAATAAAATTCCATTCATCAAACTTGGCGTGAGGTGAACCAATTTTGCTCAATTTGCGTGAAGACAACCTTTCTGGCGTACACAGTACTGTACTACGACTCGGGCCCTTAGATTTTCCAAGTTGCAATTCCAGAAAATAAAATTTCATCAAGTTTTAAAACATGTTAGATATGAGTGATTGGATCTGTATCTGTCTGTATCTGTAGCGTAGGGAGGGTGAGTGTAAGCCCACGTACTTAGGCCACATGTGACCCATTGTACATAATCCCGAGGAGTTGTCCTCCTAGGTCATCGTCCATCCTGTCGTTTCCAGGAAGGTGGACAGGTCGCTGGGAGACATCTCCTTTATATCGGCAGGTGTAGGCCAAGACTCGCCGAACACACACTCTCTTATTGACGATAACTCCGGGCACTCACACAGGACATGCCTGACAGTCTCATCTTCCTGTTCACACATCCTGCATAGAGGTGTGTCCACTAGCCCCATATTATGTAGGTGTTTCCTTAGCTGACAGTGGCCAGTCAGAAATCCTACTGTAAGGCGTAGATTTTTCCTGGTCATCGCCAGATATTTCTTCGAGTGATTGGATATGTTTTATATATTTAACTGCATTGAATGGACCAACTTTTCGGAAAGTATCTAATTCCTTTCCGTTTTGAAAATCTGAAAAATTATCAAAGGAAAATGCTTGCATTTTTTTGAAGCGTTTGGGATTTTAAGGAAGCTATGTATATAAAAAGAGTTTCAATCATTTATTTATTTATAAATACAAGTTACTGCATTGCAGAAGCAAATGGCATGCTCCTTCATGAATAGAACTCTATTAAAACTCAGTTACAAAACTTGTAGAAGCGAAAGTGGAGGTTCAGTTCATGCGTAAGATCTGCACTTGCGGTGGATGAGGCAAGGTTTCGTTAAAACCCTAATCAAATCTCAACCGGCTTTCTACCGATTACTTATCAGTTGGGTATTCTTTCAGCTCAGCTGGCATGACTGATATTGCCAATCGCTGAAAACCTAATTTGATCCGCAGCGAGGCAGGCAGCGAGTGTGTACATTTTCCTCAAAAGTCAAGACCTGATCGGTGGTCAGTAACTAATTGCTTATCTAAGCAACAGAAATGTGTGGCCTGAGAAGTAAGTCTTATATGACGCATATTAGGAAAGCGCCCTTCCAAGAGTCCTAACTCTACCCACCAGCAAAGAAAAGCTCTTGATCCTCTTAGGTAAACTGTTACCATCTAGGGTCGAAAACTGCAGCTCTGAAATCATTCCTGACGTCCATCTTCTGGATTTTTTTCACAGCAGTCATAATGGCATGATAAAGAGAATCTAGTTTATTACCAAGGATTGAGGTCATATTCAAAGTACAATATCCTCATCTTCATGACTGTAACCTTCCTATACGAGGACACCTGCAAGTCAGCTATACCTGACCTGAGCTTAGCTGAATCATCTAGCCTCCTAGGTTTGTAAACAGGATCAGCAAGCTACGGCTCTTGATATTGTGTTCCAGGGAAGACTGTATATTGTGTTCCATCTCCTGTATAGTTTCAGGTTGGTTACTCCAGGGTCCTTTAAGGATCCCACGAATAGTTAGGGAAAGGAAGTGTATCACGGCAGATCCCTGCATTACCGTGAAATAGCTTTCTTCGATGAGAGGACGCCCGGTATCTAGAAGGTTCCGTAGGTCCTACTGATGGGCTCAAAAATATATCGTTCGGCACGGGTACACACTCCTTAGAATTAAGTCATCAGAAATATGTTATTCGGTTAGGAAATAACAGCACTGCGTTTAATCATGTCTTATATTCAGGAGTGCTACGAGATAGCAGACAACCAGAAGCTGAAATCCATTCCACAACCAAAGCTAACACATATACGAAAATCAGCAAGCAGTAGTTCAAGCAGTGAGACAATTAACAAAGACCGACAACCTCCGGTTTCTTAAGGACTTAGCTACTAGCTATACCTGGCTTCTTTCAGGGAGTTGCTATCAGACTGTATGGTAATTTAAATGAAAAAATTCAAATTGAAAGCGGCTGACTGATCTCGCTTTATATATCTTTACCCCATAGCATTCGAGAGTGTTCTGAAATGTTTTACGATTTCTTGAGTTGCGAGATGTTGCCGAATGTTTCAGGCTACTCTTGAACTTTCCACAGCATTCCAAAATGTTCCAAAATGTTCTAAAACGATGTAATATCCCTTCGAATACTCTAGAATATCCCATAGAATAAAGGTCAAAATCCCAGCGGCTATATCTTCAGGTCAGAACGGAAATCTTTCTCATGGACAAGCTGATCTGATACTATGACAGGTGTAGGCAAAAACATGTTCTGCTACCTGTGTGAAACCAGGTGGGGTGGCTATAGTCTCTGAAAAATGCAAATGATATTTTTCTCAAATCAAAAGAATATAACGATGTTTTTCTTTTTCAGGGCTGCAGCATGAACTTCGCGAATCCTCCAACAACCGCTTCTGGTCCGTGCAGCCGGTCTCGCACGCAGGAGGGGGAGGGTGTGCATGGCAAGGCCCGATTAGTGCGACCGCCACTGCGATGAGTACCGTGGGGGCGGGCGTTGCGAGCCCGGGGCAAGTGGGGGTTCGGACGCCGACGGCCCCCAAACGTCCTGTTCGACGGGGTGGAAAAGCGCCCCCCGATCGACCGCAGCGTGCCCTCTTCTGTCTCTATCTCAAGAATCCCATCAGGAAGCTGTGCATTGATGTCGTCGAGTGGAAGTATCCTTTTTGTTAGATCTGTGCTAACTACTTTTTTTTTATTTTTACAGTTGCAATGAGGCACCGTGTTTGAATTTTCTTTCGATGCACATGAGGCGCAAAGAGAGTTTTCATGTTCACACAGTATTTTTTTGAGAACAGTTGACCTCAATCAACGAACTTGTGATCCAGCAGAGTACCAATGATGAAATCTGTGTTATATCAGTTCACCTCTAAAGATCTGAGTTTTCTTTGAATTCATAGATAGTTTCTTCGTATGGGAAGTCATCATAATGATTTTTGTGTCAACCAAGTAGAACTCACTGTAACAATCAAACAAAGTCTTGCCTAATTAATAATATTAAAACTTCAGTATTGAGAAAACAATTGGCAGTACTAAAAATGGACTGACCCACTTCTATTGTATCAGAACTAATATTTGCCCCAACGGCATGGTCATTATAGGTTTTATTTATCGTTCATTAAATGTCACAATTTGAGGATCAAGTGTATTTTATAACATAGGTACTAGCATTTTCGTCCTATCTTCACATCCTAACAGTATAAAATTCTCAGCTGTTTTCACAAAATTTGTATGTTTCGATGAAACTAGGAAAATGTTAGGTTAGGATATTTCAATATTCATTTCATACACAACTCTCTCCGGTAAAATACTGACTCGCTATTCCAAAATCGATTAGGTTGTTTTTGAGTTCATTAACAAACATAAAAATATCAAATTTTTTCTCTTCAATATTCGCCTATTGCGAATATGTAATCAACTTTTCCAAAAACAAAATACAAAAAGTGAAGCTGCTTGAATTGATTTTCAATTTGATATTTTCTCAAGTTGAATCTGATTTTATACCAAAATATGAACGTTTCGTCGTTGACATCTTCCAAGGTCTGTGTTATCTCCCCTGTTGCACCAATGCCCTCGTTGACTTAGGCTATATTTGCGGGTTGTTCGGCTGGTTCGATCTGCTCAGTTGGTCCGTCCAGTCTGCTCTGAACATTCCAGCTTTTTCGCCCCACTGGTGTTTAAATTTCATTGATCTTCATCGTTGAAATTATTATCAAGTGTGTAGATCTCAATTGCTTCACGTGAAGCAATTGAGATCTACACACGTGAAAGCTTGACGAGTGGACAATAAGTTAAAGGTCCTCGAATCAAAAAAAATCTATAATTGATCCCGTCTTTCATGAGCCTACACAAGGTTTTTGACCAACGAAACCAGAGCATTCCGTCATAGCTTTGTCGTTATGTTGCTTTCAACTTTTTTAATAGATCATGCCTCTTCTAATTTTCCTTTATTTTAATCTGTTTTTGATTTAGGTCATCACTGCACTAGTAGCGACTGCGATAAAAAACTAAATGAAAAAATATCGAGTTTTTCTCTGTCCGAAATGGTTTATATTTAGATTTTTAGAAACGTAATAAACTTTACATCGATTGATTATTCAACTTTTTATGAAGAACAGAATACGGAATAATATAGAATGAGTTTTCAGTCCCCAATTCGTACAGCTTGTCAAATCTAGGAAGCGACTTCAAAGTCTCGGCTCAGGACCTCTCTAAGATGCGTGTGGTAGAAAACCCTTGAAGACGATCGGAGCTCACTTTTAACGAAAATCTTGTAGTGTCCGCTTCGGTAAAGTATAGTACGCGACAAAAGTCTGTGCTCTAAGAAAATGGCATTCGAATCGAAATTGAAACGAAAAGTTTTGTGTGGTCAAGCGAGAGAAGTGATTGCTAATGTACTTTTTTTCATGCAACGAGAAGCTGATAATGGCATAAGCATGGTCCTGAAAAAAAGTTCAAGGGCGTTGTGCAAAAGCGGCGGGTGTAAGTTTTGGTAGCATCAAAAGAATAGCTCGTGAAATAAAAACAATTGTCATCCTCTTTTTCAAGACAAAGACATAGAAAAGCATCAAAATTAGATTTTGATGATTTCGACAAGGGCCTTCTTCGTCGATATATAATCAATTATTACATTACTGAGAAAAAAATTTCCACCTTACGCCGTATACATAAAACATTCGTTAACGAAAATGATTACAAGGGATATTATGAGTCTCTGAGGAAATTGATGAAAGAAATGGGGTTCAGATGGAGGGAAACTAAAAAAAAATAGAAAATTGCTCATGGAAAAACCGGCGATTCAGCAGTTACGAAGAAATTTTCTCAGACATGAAGAAATACCATGAAGAAGATCGATTAAATATATCAATACTTCATATACACATGAGAATAGATGGAATGATAATTTGAATGAAGAGTTGGTCTCACCAATTTGCACCGATATAATTGTGAATGCAGGAGAAGAAAATGGATTTGCGAAAATTTCATATCTAAAATTCAAATACAACACAAAATGAGATGACTATCATAGCGAAATGAATTACGACAATTACAAAAAGTGGTTGCATCAAATATTAATTCCCAATCTCCCAGAAAAAAAAAAACGTTTTGTTATAGATAATTCCCCATACCACAATGTTCAGTATGGAAAGTGCCCAAACATGCCCTCATTTCACGGATGATATGCTAAAATTGATCTCTATTCCATTATTAAAATCCAAAAATCAGGATTCAAGTTATATGAAATTGAAAGGATTATGGAAAATCATGGATATACTGTACTCAGATTGCCTTCTCATCATCCAGATTTGAACCCAATAGAATTAGTAATGGCGTCACTAAAGCAATAAGTGGCTGATAAAAATGTGGACTTCACTGTTGAAAGTTTATGTGACGAGTTCTTCACTTCGTTTTCTCAAGAGAAGTAGAAAAAAACGTTGCGAACATGTTAAAAGTTTCAAAGAATTTCATGCTCCGAAGAAACTTGCTCTTGATTTCGCAATAGACAAAATAATCATAAATGTTCAAGGTGATAGTGACAACGATAGTACCAGTGAGGATAGTGATAACTCTACAAGCGATTCCGATCTGTCTGGAGTTGAACCTTTGTAATTTTTCAATCATAACTTCAATTAAATTTTTGTTTGGATCCATTCATCGTAATAAATACAATGTTTCCCAAGAAATTTTCATTTTGAAATTCAGCTTCAACCCAAATAAATTACATTTTCAGAATAAGCCTTTCTATCTTTCCTTAATGAACCCGAAATTGAATACAATACAGACTCCTGAAAAACAAATTCATTTGAATTCAATTACGTAAATACTGCATCATCACACTAAACTAATACTTGACCATTAATTGAAAAACCACCAACCCTTATTGCTACTCTCGGGGAGAACTGTATTCTCAGGCCACCCAAATAGGCGCACTAAGTCTCACGATAGATTTCATCAGTTTCTATCCTAATGCGTTCTCTGTCAGTAGTGTACACAGGTGGTGATATGTCACAAGTTGCTTCCTAGATTTGACAAACTGTAACTACTTTCTCTTCACTCCACTATTGACTGTTTACTCTTCACTCCTCAACTCTTTGAGTTCATAAACCAGGACAGGATTTAATAGGAGTTGCTTTAAACCTTACTTACGTTCAACACAGTCCAAAAATTCTTAGACTGTGTCAGTGCATATCCTTGATATGCTATGATGTGAAATAATATGTGAATCATAGTCAGTAATTGTTGAACTTCTTCCTTAACTTATTTTATAGGCCGTTCGAATGGTTGATTTTGCTTACAATTTTTGCGAACTGTGTTGCCTTAGCTGTATTCACACCTTTTCCTTGTAGCGACTCGAATATGACAAATACGTATTTGGTAAGTACTTTATTTCGTAATTTATTTGTAGTATATTAAACATTACTATGATGGCAACTATAAATTATTTCATAATACAGGGTAGGTGTCAGCTACAACATGAATCTTGGTGTCTGAGCCCAAGGTCGAAGTGAAATTTTCAATTCAAATCACATTTTAAAACACTCTTGAAATTGGTTGTGAATACATATTCATTTATTTAGACGGAAAATAAAACTTTTTTTTACACAAAAAATATACAATAGATACGAATTCAAATCCAACCTAACCCAACAATTCAATTTGAGTCAGGTAGGTGTAGGTACTAGGCGTGAAAAATTTGAAAACAATAATGTTTTCAATTGAGTAAAGCTATTTCCTATGAATTAACTCTTGATTCCTAGCCGCATGGGTCATGCTTTTGGGTTTTAATATCCACAATCAGTGTTATGGTTTGTTAATTTAAACAAAGCAGATATTGGGATGAGATGTGGTGATTCGATATTATGTTCTTTGAAATTGACCTCAAAATTACAATCAATTATTTGAAATTAGGGGTTGAGATAACATCGGATTTTCATTTTAAGGTGACCATTCAATGCAGAACATTACTGTCTGGAACAGTAAGGTTTTGAGACCATTATTTCCGCATGAACGTTAAAAAGAAATTGAAGGAAATTATGATACCATTCAGTATTTCTCGTCTTTGACGAAAGAATATTTTCAAATTTCGAAGTTACTATTTTTGGCAATGTCAGAATTAAATTCTAACACTAAACAGTCAAAATTTTCAAGGTCAAAATCGGATTTTAAATCAATACATCTGATGTTTCAGTAATCATTTCAAACTGTACATAGTACATAGATTTCATGGTTTTGTTAGAGTATGATATTATAAACATCAAAATCACGAGGAAAAGTCGTATGTTCGACTTGTCGAAGTTTATAAAGATCTTTTATTTTATACTCGTTTAAAAATATTTCCTAATTTTCCACATTTTCCAAGCACAGTCAAGGTCGCCGTTGACACGTGGAAGTCTGATTCAAAATTAATCAGGTCAGATATGGTGTATACAAATACAATACAGTTCATTAGATAATTAAATTAACACTGCATACGGCAGTAAATTCACGTAAATATTCCCTCATGTGGGTATTTGTTGCAATTTCTGAATAATTTGAGTCTTGTGAAAATAATTGATTTCTACTAATTTGCACGACATATTCTGGTTTGAAATGCCCCTGAGTAATTTGAAAGATCTTTAATTTTGCCCCATTGCCAATGTTGAATGTTTTATTGAATTTGTAACCGTGTAATTTTCCTTTAGGAAAGTTAGATTACTTTCTGATAGGAAAGTTGAATAACAAGAGTTTTTATTGATTCACGAGTATGGTCAATGTATGATGCAATGTATGACTGACTAAGCAATCTATATAAATACATGAAAACTCCAAGTTATTATTTCAATATGAATCACGTCAAAGATGATTGGCCAGGTACCAGCAGAGTTACATCTTCAAGATATCGTGGCGGGTGGCGGTTGGCACTGCAATGGACCACTCATTAAGTCCAGTGGCGGAAACAGTTTTTCTGGACAAATTCCAACAATTTGCCTCAGAGCGAGCTTTCAGGAAACCATGTTGTTGGGTGCGTTATGTTTATGATACGTTCGTGGGATGGAGGCACCCTGAAGAGCAACTAAACATTTTTTTTGCATACTATGGCGAAACACGTGTTGCATTTTTGTTCAGAGGAAATCTCACAATAAAGTGTTTTTTGAATACGTTATATCTGAACTCTTTCAACATCCAATAAACAATGAAACAAGAATCCCAAAGAACAGTCGCCATTTTGGATGTATATAGGAGTTAAAATATATGAAGGTGGGTCATAGACTGTACCAGATACTCACGCACAGAGACAGGTTTCTATAAAAACTACAGCCGCCAGCCACGACGAAAGAGTAAGGTAACTAAAACTTCAGTTGAGAAAGAGCCCGACGTATCTGTAAAATGCTTTCAAAGGGAATGGGTATAACGAAGCTGAAGTCAAGCGAGCAATACGTCCCAGGAAAGAGAATACCAAGGTTACTCCAAATAGGTCTGTTCAATGGAGACGGTTTTCTGAAATATATGAAGGATTTCACTGAAATTGATTTTCAGGCCAACGAAAACCGACAGCTGAGAATCCACATAGTCTTCGGCAACACCAGGAGTTCACAGGATCTTTTGTAACTGTGGGTTGGTTTGTATGGAAACCACAATTGAGAATAGAGGAGAAACTGACGCCACCCACGAATCAGTAGTAGTGAAACATGGCCAAACAAATACTCTAGTTTCTGCTGTGAGAAAAACTATAGAACACTTCGTCCGTTACCTTATCGCTTTCAATAATGTCTACCGCAGTCGCATATCAAATTACACACATAAACATCTTTAGATTCCGGCCAACCACCTCGGAAACTGAGACTTCAGTTTGTCAAGCATCTAAACTTTGTTTTTCTCAAGTCAAGTAGGTAAAGTCCGAGACTGGGTTTAGCATGGCCTGCCAGGATAGTTCCTTCAATACCTGAGTCCTCCGTAGTCGAATGATGTGTATAGAGGTTACAAATATGTGTATGGATGGGACCTGCCGCGAGGTGTCTCACATTCTTCTTATGCATTTGCTTTTAGCACATCCAGCTTGGAAATACATATTAATCAGTTGACTAACAGTTTTTTATACTTGTACAGATACGTAGATGATATCTCAGTCTTTTTTACTGGACGTAAATGATCACTGCTAGAAAAGTTGCTGGGGATATCGACATATCGGTTGGCTCATGACATGCAATTTTTCGAAAATTTTGGGCATGAAGCGTGTGGCAGCGAAGTTCGTTCCAAAATTGCTGAATTTTGACCAAAAAAACTGTCGCATTAGCATTGCTCAGAAATTGTTAAATGACGTCAATGGGTCATAACTGGTGATGAATCATTGGTATATGGTTATCACATCGAAACCAAAGTCCAATCTTCACAATAAAAAAGCCCAGGAGAGCAAAGACCAAAAAAGCACGCCAAGTTCGATCAAATGTCGAAGTTTTGCTCACTGTTTTCTTCGTTTACCGTGGTATAGTGCACCTGGAATTCTTGTCACATGAAGAGACTCATAAAAGGGCGGGTTTTGCGACGATTGAGGAGATAAAAATCGAATCGCTGATAGAGCTCAAGGACGTACCAAAAAGTGCATATCAGTACTGCTAGGATTGAAAAAAAAACGCTGGCATACGTGTATTATATCTCAGGGAAAAAATTTCGAAAGGAGCCAAAATAGAAATTGATGACTGAATAAATATTTTTTGATAAAAATGAAAATTTACCTTATTTTTTTAACAAACAGCGTACATAATTCCTCGACACATCACTATCAGTATAAACTATCCGTATTGTTTAGTATGCAAACTTTGGTTCAACAAAAATTGCGAGCAAGCTGTCGCCTCCAAAAATCTCGCCTACCGGCAGTGGCGCAAAAATCCCACTACCGAAAACCGAACTAGGTTTGGTAATGCTCGTAAAAGCTGCAAACTTAGGATGAATGAAAACAAAGAACTTTATAATCAGAGAATTAGGGATGAACTGCTTGGCAATCCCAACGGGTATAGATCCTTCTGGATCTACACAAGCGGATGGTTTAATTGCAACAACAGTCATAGAAAAAGCGAATCTACTAGCTGGACAATTTGCGTCCCACTCCACAGTCGATTTTCTAGGAAAGCACCACCCACTATTTCCACACTAGAATCCACAATGCCAGAAATTACTTTTCGACTAGTCAGGCGAATTTTGAAACAGCTCAATATCAACAAGGCGTCTGGCCCTGATGAAGTGCTCGTCAGCGTACTACAAAAGTTCGCACCAGTATTTTGCAGACTTTTCAACCTGTCCTATAAGAAAGGGATTTTTCCTTCTTGTTGCCAGATTGCTCGCGTTTAGCCTATTCCCTAAAAAGGCAAGAAAAATCTTCCAAACAACAATAGACCAGTCGCTTTGCTATCAATGGTATCAAAAAGGATGTAGGACGCCGTAAACCACCATATTCTCAAATTGTTTGAAAGCTTCTATAGTATGTCACTCATATTTGTAATAACGCAATCGATAAACATGGGAAATCAAGAGCTATCGCGCTTGGCCTTTAACATTTAACCGTGTGTGGCATGACGGTTTGCTGACCAAACTTCAATGCTATTGGGTGTCGAATCCTTCCTAAAAAAAACGTTCCCTGCAAGTGACCGTCGATGGATATCTCTCGAATACTTTCACCATCAACGCTGGTGTTTCCCATGGATCCATATTGTCTTCAACCCTCTTTTTATTGTATATCAACAACTCATTGGACAAAAACAAGAATCCAATATATTGCTTTGCTGGCGACAGCACACTTATCTCGTCATTCTATTTGGATTCCAGGACATCGGCTACGGAGGCACATCTTCACTGGCAGCAGCAGGTTGCGTATCTTAATGAGGATCTAGAAGTGATTTCGAATTGGGGTGAAAGTAACCAGGTTCAATTCAATGCCACAAAAACCCAGGCATCGGTTTTCTCCAAGACAACAGGTCAGACAATTCCACTTTCTTCTTCGATAAGTTTGTTGGGGGTTAAAATGAACACCTATATATCCTGGCACAATCATGTCGCTGGAATTGCAAAGGCTGCTTCTCAAAAGCTGGGAACACTTTTCCAAACAAGAAAACTGAACACACCTCAGCAACTTTTGATGCTTTATAAAGCTCAGATCAGACCTTCTTTGAAGTATTGTTCTTATATATGGAGCTCTGCCCCCAAACATACCCTGAAGTTGCTGTATTTCCTCCAGAAAAAAGTCAGCCGCCTGATTGGAGACGCGAATATCACGTGTAACCTTGATTAGCCTGGAACACCGAAGAAAGGTTGCAGATTTGTCTCTCTTCTGAACATACTTTCACGGGAAGTAGTCAAGTGACTTGGCACATTTGATTCCACCAATAGCGGTACATATCAGAAATACGCGACGGACTGTGGCTGCTCATCGTTCTGAGGTTCAACTCAGTACAACTCGAACTTCACTATTTAGGAACTCTTTCATCTGGAGAACAACGTTTATGTGGAATCAACTTCATGAGACCGTTTTCCGAAATGGATTCAATCTCAAGCGATTCAAATACAATGTGAATCACACAGGCACCGCTCTGAGAGCGCCTTAAGGATTTTTCTCTAGTGCTTGTGTTTTGTCCTTGAAAAAATGATCTACAGACTATTCAATATTCCAATGCAGGAAAGTTATTCTCACAAAAAAGTGGGTTGTATGAAAAAAATGCTGTCAATAACAGTTACAGGGTGAATATTACCGACATCATGCTTTCCAAAAAACTACGAAAGTTGACTTGTGGTTTTTCCCCAAAACTTCATATTGGCCCAACGGGAGAACCATTTCCTCAAGAATGAAAGAACATAGAAGTAGTTTCTTGAATGGAAAGATCTATTACACATTCGCAAACCATCTTTTGTTACAGGAGCACGAGTTCAACTACGACTCTGAAGTATCCTATTTTGAAAAAAGAAAGGTTTGAAACTCAATCTTTTGGAATCCTTGAAAATTATATTCAAGAGTAAATTGGTATTTAGTTTAATACCAGTCCATTCAATTTGTTCATAAAATCTATTTCATAATGTTAAAAAAATTGAATTGTTCATCCCTAAAGTCAGTTGGAATTATCAGTCGTGAAATAGGTAGATGTTCATATGATTCAAATTGCTATATAAAGTACTATGTAGAATTCAGTCAGTATGGACACGTATGATGAAGAAATCGTATAGCGAAACACTGTTCAGTGAAAATCTCACAAAGCGGTACTTGAATATATGATTTCTATAAACCTGAAAAAAAAAGAGTTTCAGTTCATGCCGTTAGTGACCTACGTGAAAATCTTGGAAAGGTAAAAATAATAACCCAAGCTTTCATTGATTAAATACGACCCACGACTGGGATATTTCTCAAGCAAACGCCGTACAAAAAAATGGGACAGGAAAATACGAAAAGTGCACTATATGTATATGCAAAGGTGATGAATTCCTATACAATTTTGATATTTTTTGTATATGATATTATATCACATATGGATTAGTTCGTTCATGGAGGGTTATAGGTCAAATCAAACCCCTCGTTGCCGTACATACGATGCCTTCCCTAGGGTTAACTGTCCTGAGATAAAATCTTCTCCACATAGTTGATATATGCAGAAGCTGGAATCTCATCCGTCCATCCTCCGCTCACTTCCGTGTGGTCCTGCTGCTTCTAACCTTGTATGATTGAAATTTAGCCTCTGGTACCCATACTTCCTTTTCATCTATTCTGTTTGTTATACCTGACTCTACTGTATGTATGTTTGCATGGTGGTCCCCTGTACCTAACTGGGACATTCATGTAGTTTTAGATCCGAAGTCTGTGTATTATTTCACACTGGCCATCTGCACTGGAAGCATACAGGATGATGGGGAGTAGAATTGTCTTGATTAGAAGCAGTTTCACTTGGGAGATCTAGTATAGTATAGTACGTATAGTTGTTCTCGGGCTTGGGCACATCTACCGTGTACACCATTGTCTTTTTAAAAATGATTTGCGTATTATTGCCTTGATTAGAAGTATGTACAAAATATGTAGACTATCTTCTATAGTAAAAAACCTCTCTTTCAAACATAAATAGAGTCCAAAAAGTATGAAATTGATAATGGAAAATTCATTTTGATCGTCATTGGTATTTTTTTTTTTTTTGTTTTTTTTTGCAGGAAAAAATCGAGTATCTCTTTCTCGTTATTTTCACGGCTGAATGTGTTATGAAAATTCTAGCGTATGGATTCTTGATGCATCCAGGGGCGTATTTACGGAATGGTTGGAATTTACTTGATTTTACAATAGTAGTTATAGGGTAAGTAATAAATTTAAATTTCAGTTGTAATTTTTGAAACAAGATAGAAGTCAACATACCCAATTCACAATATTTCATTTCAGTTTTTTAGTTTTATTCAGTGCGTCAAGTTCTATTGCTTGAAATGTGTGTAGTTATTCAGGTATTTTTGAGATTGAAATGGAACCTTAAAATTGTCTGTGTTCAGGATAATGAATTCAATCAAATTTCTCACCTAATCGATAGTTAATAGGGTGGCGCCGCGGGTATTAAAGTTATCCAATATAAGAGTGATTATTTGTTTATTCCAGTGTGCAAAAAGGTTGTTTTCATCCTAAGTGATATTTGTTATCTGCAGAAATAATCCGAATGTGAGCGCCAATTGTACTGTTTGTTCGTTCATAGGTGAACAATCATATGCCTGAATGGTTTTGAACATTATGTAATATTGGGTTGATTCAGATGTGTGAGACAACTAGTCATCTCCCAGTAATGTTTCCCTGGTTATTTTAATGCGTGCCATGAGACAGCGTCCCAATTCTTGTATGGATTCATTGCTGCGGATCATCAATATTCAATAGCTATAGGTATTGAAACACTTGCTATTAATGGGAATACACCGAATGGTACTAAAAACTCTCTATCTCGCAACTGTTTATATGAACTCTTGTGATTTACCAACCCTTGAGCTCTACTATGAGTTAGCTTTTCAGAAATTAAATAAGCAGGCAAACCTATGACGGAGACAATTGGTCCCACCAACTTACCAGGCTTGCGAATTTTTTGCAGGTTGTATATCCAAAAAACTGCAGGATTACATAACTTCTGCCAGTACAATCAACACTTTCCGATAATTTTCACTTCTAAAATCATTCCAGGCAATGGATTGCTTGGTAGTTCAACTAAAAGACCGTTTATAAATAAATCATCAACTCTTTATTAGTTACTGACCTATCACAAACTCTCTTTTAGATGACAACATGTTTCACCTTCATTATTGTGATATGCTTTTTTTTCTGGAGATTATTGTTAGTCTTTCTAGACTAGAAATCGCACATTAAAAGGTTAGACATCGTTGATCCTTAGCTCTCACAAATTTTGACTTTTGAGGATTTTCGTTCGTGAGGGGCGACAGCTACTTAACGAAAAAACAGATTTCAATTTATTTTTTCAATAGGTACTGTTATTTTTTTGCAATATTCCCGAATGAACTCTTTCGATATCCCAGGTATTGAATTGCACTGTTAACAATACCACAACATCTTTCAAGACTTCCTTCAGAAATCTCAAATAAAATTTTGCACCAACTTTCGGAAGATCAAGTTTTTTTATCAAAAGAATTACTCAAATGATTTACAACATATTGATAATTTTCTTCGGCTTCTTGGATTTCAAGCTATTGAAATTTTTGTTCAAACAAGTAATCTGATTGAGGAATTTTGATTTAATGGTCCCATAGTCCCATTGTTCCATCTTCGCATGCCTGTACATTAGATTATTGTTAACGTATATGTTTTTATGAGTTTCTTGAGAACCATCTGTCTCTTTCCGTAACTAATATGAGCAGATCTGAACTGAAAGCATGTAAAGAATTAAGTTAGTTTTTACGAACCTGAATTCAATATACAGTGAGGAAGTAAAAAGTCCTCTCCCCCCCTTAACTTTTGAACGGAACAAGCGACAGCTTGTTCATAAAATTTATTGTGGTCATGTGGCCTAGTGTCAAGAAGGCACCATTAACTATTTTTTTAATGTAAAGGGGGGTCACGTGGCCCCTGTTTTTTCTACCCAACACCACTGTGTTTGTGAAAATCGGCCAAGACCTTTCAAACTGACCAGCGGTTGAAATTTGCTCCGAATAGTTAACAAATAAATTATTTCAACTATTAATTGCAGCAGAATTTTAACACCGTTACTGATTGTGGTCGAAAAGCCAATTTTTTGTGTTAAAACAGGTGCGCTTATTATTGGTATTTTGAATTGTGATTTTCGTTTCAGTTTTTTACACCTTAGTTATTTTGCTGGGGACTCCAAATAGTATTTCATTTCAGTGCCAGTCAAATATTGACGTTATTCATATAGATACTTTTGACAGTTTTCTTTATAATTTTCAACTGTCTCATCCCCGTCTTTTAGAAATAAAAACCGAAGCAATTTCAATTTATGCTGAAGCTAGGAGTAATTATCATGAAGCAGAAAGAATATTTAATAACCGCTTCCCAAATAAATAATCCAATATTTCGTACCTACTTAAGGGTATTGGTCAGTACATTTTAAAGGACTGGTTGCGTAACGAGGACAAATCTGGAAGAAAATCTATTTCACAAGAACAGCAAATCGACGTTCTGGCAGCTGTTTGTTAATAATCCGCAACAAACAACGAGAACGGTAGCCACGGATTGTGGCGTATCTACGACCACTGTGAAAAAATAACTTGAAAATCACAAATTTCACCCATATGAATTAACAGAAGACGACCCGGATAGAAATTTTCTGAGGTCATGTCTGACCGCATAACCCAAAATCCCGGTTACATTAACTCTATTCGTTTTAGTGATGAAAGTATATTTTTTCTAAATGGAACAATAAATAGACAGAATGTGTGTTATTGGTCAGACGTAAATCCGCAGTTTTTCGGGAGAGTTATACCCAAACTCCAGAGAAGATCAACGTATGGGCTGGTTTTTTGGATGAACATATCATAGGTCCAATATTTATGGCAGAAAATGTAACTGGGTATCTGTATTTAAATATGTTTCAAAATCAGATCCATCACAATATTCAAGAAGTAGTTGGGGCAAACCCATATGAATTTACCATAGATGTTACCTTTCACAAGATATGTTACCTTTCAACAAGATGGTGCACCCCCTCACTACTACAAACCTGTCCCAGAATGGCTTAACGAGAATTTTCCGGGACTGTGGATAGGCCGACGTGGTCCCATTGACTGGCCAGCTAGGTCATCTGATATGACACCTATGGACTTTTTTCTGTGGTGGTACATGAAATCTAAGGTGTACGTCACGCAGCCACAGTCACTCCAGGAACTTATGGACCTAATAACAGATATGTCTTACAGCATTAACCCGGAAACATTTAATAACGTTCGGAATGAATTCCAAAATCGACTTTTTTCTATTAAGAAGTGAGCGGTGAACATTTTGAGCACGTATTGAAATAGTTGAAATTGTTACTTAAAATTTCATTGCAATTAAAAGTTATTTAGTTTTAAATGTATTTGTAACATATTTGAAGCAAATTTCAAATGCTTGTCAGTTTTAAACGGCTTGGCCGATTTTCACAAACATAGCGGTGTGTAGAACTACTATTGGTTTTGAATTCGTTACCCATAGGAAGACTGCCAATATATTGAGGTATATTCAAGATAAGCCTCACCGTTGTTCACAAAAAAAATCATGGAACTACACTCTTTTGTTCATAGTAAGTGAAATTAGAAAGATGAAAGTATCCTCCAAATTCAGGAGATAATTCAGAATCATAAATTTAGGGATCTTCAACTATACTCAAAAAAAAAACGCTGAGTCAGTATATATTATTGATCTATAAGAACCAAGATTCACCAATGAATTGTATAAGTGAAGTGGCTGCTATCTGAAAATAGATGATGATTATGATAATTCTATAGTAAGATCAATTTCAATAATCGACAATCAAACGTATAAACCGTATAAACGTGTAAATACACGTTTATATGCTTTATACGTAAACGTATGAACGTATCAACCGTACAAACTCTTTCCGAGGTGTCAAAGCTATTTTACGGGTTTATTTATAAGTTTTCATGCCTGATGTTTCGTCTATCACTGCGGTATACATTGACAGAGGCAACGAAAAGTTCTGGTTGTCCTCTAAGTAGATACTGAGAATAATTGACAGTTTTCTTCGGCCGTGAAAGTTGACACACTTCTGGAAATGAAATTCAGTTTGAAATGATTACGCATAACCATCAAACTTGAATAACTGAACAACTACACTAATGGAGCTAATATAGATGAAATAGTTTACATATGAGTCTCAAAAGTAGGGAAGATCCTTGAAACTCTTCAACCTTTTCAACTTTTGTGCCGAAATGCTAATTTTAAAAATCTATTGAACTACTTTTAGTTTGAAAACGTTCATGAGCATGAACTGGACTATCCCTGAAAGTAAACTCATTGTGTGTATTGTCTTAAGAGAAATTGAAGAGAAGGAAGGAGGTGTTCTCGAGAAGGGATGCATTGCTAAGAACCGACGATCATGACAAAAATCTGGACAAATTTACTATGTTCTCGCATAGCTCCAACAAATTTACAGAAAACAACATCTCACAATCACATCTGGAATCAAATTGTCTGATGAGTGTTTCATATTTTCAATTTTCATCAGAAATTCATCAGAATTTAAAACAAACCTTTTTTCTAATCACCAAAAATACTGTACTCTTTTCGAAGCGAAGCGTTTTATCAGTCAAGTTGGCGTCTTCAGGAGATAAAGGAAATACCAACTTGGTTGATGAAACCAGCGTTGAAAAGAGTACCTATTGGTCAAAATTACGGAACTTTCTTTCACAATTATTGAATTACCACTCCATACATCTATATCAAACTGCTCTTCTTCCTATAAATTAACTCACAAGGTACATTGAATATATTATTGATATTGAGACTGTTTACGAATAAATACAACAACATCAGAGAAGGTCATATGAATGGACAACTAACTGCAAAAAATATTTATCAATGGATCTATATCGATCCACTTCAATGTCTCATCGTGCGTTCGCCTTGTGGTACAGCATCTTACAGTGAAAAGATCTGGTTCAATATATTTGGTGAGTCTTGAAATCGGAAAACAGTAGGCAATTTGCTTTTTGAAATGATTTGCTCAGCTCTTACTGTTCTTATCAATCGGTAAACTCGTTTATAGAACTGCCACTCACCATGCTTGAAAGCTGGGTGGTGGTAAAATGGTACTCATGTGTCGGTAGATATGTTGACAGCATATCGAGAGAACATTCCCCATTGTCTACTCAGGGACCCCATCGTCGGGAGTCCGCAGATATTTCTTTTTTTTTGCCACAGATTCCGCTCGTTTCATCTCTCATTGCTGCTTGGTGATAAGCAACACTTTTTGAATCGAAGTGTGATGGTACGTCTCAGTTTAGCAGCCTTTTGTTGTACAAAGGTGTCAAATTTCTATTGATCGCCCTGTAGTCCATTAAACAAGGATGGAAAACTACCCTTTTTTTACGATTCAGGAGCAGACTACTATGAAGATGCATAATTTTTCAATCTTCATTTCGAGTTGATATAGCTTCTCTCGAGTCGGTTCCACGACTTAAAAAGTGTATAAATAAGATCGAAACGGCAAACATGTTCGTAGCAACAACTTTTGATTCCTGACTGTTGGAGTTTGGGCTGATACCGCAGGGAAAGTGATTACTTCTTGAAAGTGGCATCGTTTCACTAAGTGTTTTTTTGGCATCTAGACTGTGTAAAATGCTTCCCTTTCGGACATCTATATTTTTTTTATTTTCTCTTCGACCTCTTTTGAGATGGACCGCAGCATATTTGCTTGTTTTGAATTGAATACCAACAGAATCTGGTTGAAATCCGTTAACAAGCTGTCGTCCCTATACGAACAACAATGGAATGTGTGTTCTCCAACAACCTGATAAAGAATAATACATTCTTTTCTGAAGGAAAATCGGGTTTTCGAAAATACCGTAATTGAGTCCAGCAATGCATTCGTGGTTCAGGATAGCACCTCTGATGAGCACAATAGTGGGTTGAAACAGGGCTGTTGAGCTTTTCATCATTAATGATTTTTTGGACTCTGGGTTCATCTAGTTATCATGTAGTGAAAGCTACAGTAAGACAGCGCAATCTCTTTCAAAGAATATCGTCCAAATGAGAGCTTGACTTTGTAACTGACCGTTACATTTGTAGTGAAAGACATAGGACGAATCTCGTTTGGCGGTCAATGTCAATGTCAAATCTTAGCTTCGCAACAAACTGATATTTATTATTCCCCTTTCGTGGAATGTTAAATATCTGGAAGTAATAATCAATCCCAGATCGACCTGGAACCATCATTTAAACATGATGGAAAGATAGTCAGAGATAGCACTGATATTGGCCAGACGCACCTACATAAAGCTATGGGGGCTCAAATCAGACATGATTTATTGACTGTACTCAATGCTGAATGAACCCAAAACACATGCGTTTTTGATTTAGTGGCCAAAGATGATAACGGCCCCTACTGACCAACTAGGTAGTCTGCAGAGACTAACTGTTAGACTAACGGGTGCAATGAAAATCACACAGACAGCACTATTGTAGACACTCTTGAATTTACCGCTCTGTAATATTGGAGGAGATGAGATTGCTGGGCCAATGTAGATTTAAAAATGTATCGAGCTATACGTGATCAGGTGAACAACAGTCTTGTTCACGGACTACCCGAAACCAAAATACCTTTCAATAAAAATATCATGGTCGAAATCGTTGGTTGAAGAAAAGTTGTCTCGAAAACATGATTGTCAAAAGCAGAAAGATGGATTGAAAACTGAATATTGAACACGAACTAGAATATATTCTGCAGGCAAAAATTTGGTTAACAGCTACTCTCTCCATCAGTACGCAGCCATCTTTACGGCAAAAGTGTATATAATATTGCATTGCGCAATGGATATTGATTTTAAGCAGTACCAAAATGATCGAATCAATATTGATTTGAAGCATTAACGAAATAATCGAATCAATATTCTTGCAGATGCCAAGGCCAAACTTGGGGCATTAATAAACCTATGATTCACATTCACACTGATCTGGGAATGCTATGAAGAACTTGAGCAACTGGTGGACCAGAATAAATTGGCTTTACTTCGGTGTTAGAACACTTAGGGATTATATTTAATGAAAATGGTGATGAGTGAGCTAAACAGGACGCATCAGCTTCACATATGGGCTCTGAACCAGCTTTGGGGGTACCAAAATTTATGGTGTGGGACCAGATCAGACAAGACCAGATGACTCCCAAGCGACAAACTCATGGTTTTAATGCCTGTTAACTTATCGCTAGTGGATTTTTCACGTTCTACTTTGGTACATAAACTTCAATAATGGTATACAAGTATAGTGCGGACGTAAATGAGACAAAATATCAAGTTAGGATAAAATTCACAGGCATCATTTTTTGTTCTTCTTAATCAGAAATACAAAAGTATTGCATCACTTTCCGCTTTTTTGCCCTCAAAAATATATAGTTGCGTCTGGTTTGAATAATTTACAAACCCAAATGAGTAGGTCAACTGATGTTACGTTTTATTGAGATGAGGTTCCTTCTCAATACGTCATGCCATTTTGAATGTGGCTAGATAACAATTATACAAACCGGTAGATAGGCAAACGTAGTTTCTTAAAATGGTTCGCTAAATTATATGATATGACGCATTGAGATTTTGTAAATCTTAAGTATACAGCACACAACCTTAGTCTATTTCAAGGCTCATGAATAGAAGAAGAAGAACTTTTTCTGAAAATACCTCTAAAATATTTTTACAATGTAAAAAATAAATGTGTAAACAAACTTCATTTCTGTCAGGAAGTCTATGATAAACATTTTGAATATTTATTGGAAGTTTCATTGAGTTTTGAATATATTTTTTCAATGATATATGGTAAGTGTTAGACATAAAATACTTATGAAACGAAATATCACAAAATCCCCCTTTCGATTTGAAAAAAGTTACTAGCGGATTTCTTGTTGACGACTGAGAGCCACTGACTAAACTTGATGCCTTTTTACGTAAATTTTGTCGGACTTTGATATCTTGACCCGTTCAAAAAGGGGTCTTCCTAAGTTTCACAGTGCGAACCTAAGAAGTGAATATTATGAGTCCAAATTAGTGTAAAAAAAGCAACCATTGAAATTATAATTGTTTTCCGTATATCCACTAATAGTGCTATCGCACGTGAAGCTAAGACTTTCTCATTTAGGATAATTCTTCAAAAAAAAATCTTCATCTTGATTTGTCACATCGAGAAAATTCTGAAATATCATAACTGTGATTCTCTTGTGCACTTGTGTATTGTGAGTCATATATTTTTAAATTGATTTTAAAAAAATTCGAAGCCGACCCTCCTCTCATTCACTTTGCATATTTCTGAAGTTGTTAACTCAAAACATAACCCATTTCTGTATGGTTCCTATACGGCCAATGAAAACAAAATTCTTTCTACGAGTACTATTCAACTGCCTCGAAGAATTTACTACCGCATTTTCATTGAATTATTTTTATTTTGCAGATTGATTAGTACAGCGTTACAAAACCTCACCAGAGATACCTTTGACGTCAAAGCTCTTCGAGCGTTTAGAGTCCTTCGTCCTCTGAGGCTCGTCTCTGGTGTACCAAGTAAGTACGACCACAAAATAATTGAGAAAAAGTTCATCCACAAAATGATGAATTTTAATTCAGCCATTCATTTCATTGTTGAATATCGGTTAAAATAATCCGCGTCACAAATGTTCAGTCACATATAATCCGGTTTGTAAACAACGAGATCCAATGACCTGTTGAAAAACAATTAACCTAGTTAATAACGAACGGTTTCTGTTAGTTATTTTCCAGCTCTGCCACATGGACAATTACCTGATGCCAAAAATTGGAATATAAAAGGAGCTGATCCGTTTATAATGAATTACAATAATGGATCGTATATTTTTGAAAATTTTTGAATATCGGACCACCATCATATGAGGATTCGTTATATCTGAAGAAGGAAATTAACATTTCCGAATGCTTGACATAATACCAAAGAGTTTTTCTTACTCCCTGGCATCCTTAAAATTGACTGCAACCTCACAAACAGAAATCACATAGTGGTTTCGAAGTTATATATACACATAAAATAATAATATAAAATTGAAAATAAAACTGTAAATCACGTGAATAATATTCTCAAATCAGCCTGGAAGTATTCATTGAGGGAATAAAATGTATTATCATGCAACAGTTTTTTAACATTTTTTTTAAGGAATGCAGGTTTGATAGCTGTTTAAGAGAGATAGGTAGTTTGTTGGTTAACTTGATGGACATAATTAGAGGGCTGTTTGCTGCTTTCGTCAATTTATGATGGGGAACAATAAAATTATAGTTGGATCTTAACGTATATCCTGTGGCGAGCCGAATATTATCTCTTGATTCAAATTTGTCGAGATGAGTTTTGACATAAGCAACACAGTTGAATGTATATAGTGAAATAATGGTAAGGTTAGGTTTGGTTAGATTAGATCAATTGAGAAGTTTCCAAAAACATGTCAACACTTTTAACAAAGCTGAGAAACTGAAATATATCGTTTCTCTAATCTTTACGTTGAGTTGCAACTCAGCAGAAAAAATAATCCGAACTCTTGACGACTTTATAGGCTCCAACCAGAACTATTCTGTTATGCAAATATTCCAAATTTGAATGTAGACGGTCTCCAATTTGTCGGGGAATACTTAACCCTGGAACGATCAGTTCTTTTATAAGAATGCATCGTTTTCCGAGTCGTCGAATCGGGTTAGTGCAGCTCCTTTCGAGTCCAAGTGAGGACCGTATCAGTACAAATATTCTCAACAGCAACTTTGTCTGTCCTCAGCATTCTACGAAAACCAGTTGGTGCACGAAACTTCATTCCAAAAGTTTTTTTGTTATCATAATCAAATTTTCTTGAGAGCATTTGTCCTTATGAAATTAAATACCGATAGCATGCGTATACATCGCTGTCAAGAACTAAATAAGACACTTTTTCACAAGCAGATCTGAGTGTAACGCATAATGGCAGTAACCAGAAGAAGAAAATAGAGGGGGATGAAAGAATACCCCGAAACAAAACCCTCCTTCCGAAAGTAACTTCATCTAGTTGAACTTCAAATAGACAGGTCACGCTAATATTACACCAGATTATGCATCGAAAAGCTGGATCTCCTTGTTACTAGATACCACTCTCTACTCATATAGGTTTCCCTTCGAATTCTGATTCAACTACAGAAATATTCGTGTATCAGATGCTTGTAATATAAATTCGATTCTGTAATCATTCGAAATCGACAAATCTTCGATTTTAAGGATCAGAATGAATCGTAAATATACTGCTACTTATCCAGTTAGGAATTGAAATTGTGAAATATGTATTGGCCGAACTGTAGTCATCACAAAATGGATACGAGACAAATATTGTCTCCGATTTGATCCTAATCTTCATCTTCTGTTCGCAATTCAGATTTCTGAACCGAAGAGAAAGAGATTCACGTTTTATCATCAAAAAGGTCACTGTTTCGAGTGATTTTTTACTCCAATTAATAGCACTTTTGTATGTGTTGTAAAGAAATCTCACCCCTGATGAAATTTTGGGAGTTCCTTTATGAAATCTTTTTGTTTGTGGAAACCTAACATTGCCATATTATTCACTACAATTTGATTCTAAACTAGAAACCTGAGTATTCGGTTTATATTTCAATCATTATTATTGTCTTCAATTTCACGATTTTTGCCAATTCTCTAACAATATCTTCCAGGTCGACATTTCCCGTCATCCACAATGTATTTGCACGAAATATACTCGTACACAGGTTCCTTCCGATAATCGTCGGGAGAAACCTGTTTCTTGTTTCGATTCCATTTCAGCGAGAAAGGATAGAATTTATTGAAATTGAAACTTCAAGTGAAAGCAAATCCTCACTTACTTTTGCTGAAGAGATTCTTCCTTTACCCAAATTTGTGACTTTTTATTCTTTTTGACCGGCAATTTAGTTAGTTGCTGACAAAAAAATGTCAGTCGAAATTATCCCATTTATATATTTTGTACCAGAAAAAATAATGATTTTGAGAACATGTGACAAGCATATCTGTTACGGAGTATGAACTGTGAAGTGAGAGAAATTTGACTTGCATGAGAATGTGATACTCGTAAATGTGATTCAGATGGTATGTTATGTTTATTTTTAATATTCTGACAAAAAAAATGACACTCAACGTTGTTATATTTATAATCTTCCTGTGAGCACCCCCCTGAAGAGAAATTGACTATGAGGTTCAACATTTATTCTAATTCAAGAATTCATGTTTATCTTCAATTAATTCTACATAAATATTTTACTCAAAACTTCAAAAGTTGCAACTCAGACTTTTCTTGATTTATTGCCTCTTGCATATGTCAAAATTGCTTAACGATCTTAAAGTATGAAATGAGGTGTTACATTTGACCAATTTTATATTCAAAAATAATTGGGAACGTTTTTGAAGTTATACTCCTTTTGGTACTTCAGGGAAAATTGATGAGAGTAAATTTGTACGATGCGCGCGCACATCGTCACGAAAAACCGACATCCTTAAGTTAACTTATTCTTCTTTAATTTATATGGTCGTTGAGCGTATTTGTCCAGACCCCTCCTGTCCATAGTGAAGAGGCACTGCTGTCACTCTCAGTTGTCTCATTTACTTTTTTACAAAAACACTGCATGTTTTTACTAGGGGCGCAAATCCTCTAAAAATATGAATTCACAAATAAGTATTACACTGACGACCTCGTTGAATTCATCGATATGCACCCTGTTTACTGGCGAAGGAAGGCGCCAGTCCTCTCGAAATGTATTTCACTTCAATATTTATTCGAACTTGACTTCATTTTTCAAAAAACACTTCACTTTTGGACTCCACTCCGACCACGACATCAACGCGCCATCTTTGAGGACGGTCGTTATCGGAACTATCGTCCTATATCGTGATTGGAGAGGAAGTCCCTGAGGTTAGCTAGTCAACATTTTAGTTTTCCAAAAAAGTTACCAACAGAGTAAGAGTAAAGACATCTACTAGCAACTGTATTCACGATATTCATTCAAATGTTTTTGAACCTGTAACACGTGTTTTTTATCAGCCTGAATAAAATATATATATAAATATACCTACATAAATATATATTTTCCAAATAATATGTAGTGGTAACTGATATTTATTAACAATTCATTGATTTAAATACAATTTATTGTGATTATAAGTGATAAAAGTGTTTTAACATATCACTTCGAATACGTTTATAGAATTTGAGGTTAGTTGACAGTATGTAATACTTATCCACATCACAAACTGAAATAATTTCTNCAAGACGTATTGGTGTCCATTTCAACTCCCAACAAACTTATCGAAGCAGAAAGCGGAATTGTCTGACCTGACATTATTATATCCGGTTCGGAGACATTTATCTTCTTGGAGAAAACCGATGCCTAGGTTTTTGTGGCATTAAACTGAACCTGGTCACTTTCACCCCAATTCTAAATCACTTCTAGATCCTCATCCTCAGAGTAGGGATTGCATGTGCTCTCAAGAGCCGTTCTCATGCCATTATCTGAATAAAGTTCAGTCTGGGGTATATCGAACTGAATATCGTGTAACATATTGGGTCATACTACTCCGTCTAAAGATATATACACCATGAATCGCAGTTCAAAATATGGATTTTTGAAGTTCCACAAAATTTCTATGATTCACTTTCGATGAAAAAAATGACTGGAGATCGTCAACATCGCTGATCTCTATATTAAATGCAATAAAATGGTAAATTCCATACGAGCTCTCACAAATATTCTCTGGGGTTGTGATAGGATCATAAAATTCTGCATATCCTTGTCTCGGATTTTCATCGCTCCAGTAGCCCATTAAGGAGAAACGTGCAAATATCGTGAAAAATATTTCGATTTTCATTTATAAAATCCGTATCATCTTCAGTATCATTTTGTCGAAATCGTCGACATGAAGTTGTTAAAGAATTTTCATTTGATACGAGTGAAAATTATATAAATTTAGTGCCACAATACAAGGTAATTAATGTGGAGGATTCTGCAGTAAAGATACCTGAAACTTCTGTTTGCTGCTTCATCCAAAACACGGCGATTATTTCTTTTTTTTGTGTACATGCAGAATCTATTAGATTGCTTCAGGGTCATGCAAATGTAAAAGTAACGAAAGTTTTCTAATCTGTACGGATTTTCTGATTTGTCTAGAAGCAATGAAAAATCGTTTTACTAGGCATGCTTGTGATATCTGTAAGAAATAAGACAAAAATATATAAAGTTTATGTGGATATCGAGCCACTGTGAAATTAATTGGGACGAGCGGCAAGGATTTCAGTTCGGTATGTGAATATGATTGATATTCTTAGTCACATGTATAATTTTTTCTTGCAAATATGATTTTTTTTCAATAGTCT